AAAAAGCTTATTTGAAGAAATAAAGAAACTTCACTCCGAATTGACTGATAGTAGATGTGGGGGGGGTGGGGGGGGGGGGGGGGTGAAGTATATCGAAAGTTACAAAATAAGAACATTGTATTTATGAATTTACATGAAGAATTCTGATCTTGGGCGTATGTTTCTTTTTTTTTTTTTAAGTTCAGTGATTTAAATTGAGAGAAAAAATATAGTCAGAATTTAAATCGTACCGGCAATTTCCACCTAAGACTCCTCTAAAATCATGAATGGTCATGCTTCACAATCATCAGAATTTTCTTTGCATTGGTACATTCTGTATCGGTAGTGATTTACCTTGACATTTCCGGGTATAACAGAGCTACTTGTATATTACCTGTATGTGGTTAGGTGACGTCCCATGAGGTCTTACGTATACAGGTTCACATTTATAATGGTTTCTGATATAACAAGGTTTTATGACATTCACACTTCTGCATGTTCTGTATACCAAATTCTTATCTTATTTTCAGACCAAACGAGGGTGTCATCCTGGTTTGCCCACTTTTAATTACATGCATATGTAAACATAGGGGGAATTGTTGTTTTAACAATTATAGTTTATTTCCGAATTATAGTCATATTCTTACCTTTTATTTTACCTGTAAAATTTTATAAAAAATACTATATTCTGCTATTAAATCAAGGAAAATGTGCCAAAATATATTATATTTGATATAGTTTTTATTTAGCAGGAAAATGTATTGAATTTGACAAATATAAAAATAAAAAATAAACAAATATAATGTTCAAAATTTTTTTTTTTTTACAATTTATCAACAAATAGTTTTAAATGTTGGTACATTCTGAAAAAAAGTTGAAAAAAAAATAATAATAATAATAATAGATTAGAATAAATGTCATTTAAATTTCTTTTTATTTATTCAACATATTTTTTTTTAAATTTTAATAAATATATTTTTCTGAATAAACTCATCATCATGATCATAGATACCAGGATTGAAATTTTGTATTTGCGCCAGACACGCATTTTGTCTACAAAACAAGCTTCTGTCCAGGTTTGGTAGAAATCCAGGATAGTTTAAGAAAGTTATTAAAATTTTGAAAACTTTAACCAAAGAGTGAATGTAATGTGAATTGGCAGAAAAACTAAGTCCATTTATAAGTAAAATACGGATAAACAGGATTTTTATTTATAAAATTTACTACTGGATACTATCTTATGATCACAAACAAGCTTCTGTCCAGGTTTGGTAGAAATCCAGGATAGTTTATGAAAGTTATTAAAATTTCAAAAACTTCAACCACAGAGTGAATATTTGTGGACGCTGCCGCCGCCGCCAACGACGGCATGTAGAATCGCTATGTCTCGCTTTTGCAACAAAAGTCGCAGGCTCGACAAAAAGATTGTATTTCCCATCATTATACATATAGTGCCCCATATTATTTATTTAACATTAGTGCTTTATTTATTTCATTATGCAATGCATGTATAAACTTGATTCATATATTATATAAATTATGTTTGCAATAAAAGCCAACTTGTATTGGTGTATTTATATCATTAAAATCATTCAGAAACTACTGAATTATTATGACACTTTTATAACTGAAGATCATTGTTTTGTCATTAGTTGTTCAATATGTATGTGAATCGATTGAATTAATATTAAATTATTGAGAGAAAAAAATATTTGATTTATTAATCTTTTTTCTATTCAAATGAAAATGGAATTACAAAATAAAAAATACCTGAATATATAGAAAGCGCTAATAAACTATATGATCATATATACCTAAGTTGGAACAGACTATACAATTGTATGCTCATTATACCTTTTGTCTTTTTTGTTTTCTTTACTAATAGATAATTGGTTAATTAAAAGTGGGCAAACCAGGAGTAAACCCAAACGAGGATATGAATATTTTCCAGGAAAAATATTGAGTATCAAAGTATCAAATTAAATATGGGATTTTTTTCTTTCTTGGTATTAAATCACAGAAACTTAAAGAAAATACTGCTTGTCCGCTTTAGGTGTATTCTTGTCAGTTAAGACTGACATATATGTCTCTGGTATAAAGTGGGTTTATGAATGAATGATAAGTCTTGCAAAGGTACAAGATATAAAGCACATTGAAAATTGATTCCTCCGGTCTGTCTCCTTTCAAGAAAGGAAAGTTGACGTTAGATTGATTCTGTTATTTTTTTTAAACATCGTTGGTCAAATAGCTAAAGTATGTATACGTTGTGAGATTTTAAATATTTTAACAAGGGCATTCCCGATTAGGTAAATGAAGATCGCTGTGGACGGACCAACCTATATTAATCATGTAACCGCGATAATTTTCTCTAAACATTGAAATATTCACAGTTAATACCCATGATAATTTGAAAAAGTAAGTACAGTGTTTGGTTTATACGCTCGTTTTCGTGGGCCATTTTTATCTGTAAAATTATTTAAATGAAAGTTATTCAGAATTTCGATGTTACAACAAAATACTCACCTATCTATTTTAAAATTAAGCTTACGCAAAATATAAAAGATATACATGTATATAACGGCGATTCAGGTATTTTGCCACCATATTCCTCCCCAAATAATTAATGTTTTTATTCATACGAAATGTTGTTCACACCTGTAACGGTGAACCGTGTTGGCTAAAATTCACTGAGTGAAGATCAAAAGAATAGAATTACAGAATACTAATCTTTTAATTACCTTGAATTTAACCACGCATTCAACAGGTGGTCACTTAGTGTCACAGTACAATACACATTGTATTTACACAGTACTAGACTGAAGTAAAAGCCTTCAGGTGAGAATACAAACATGCATTTGTAAAACAATATCAGTTATATATGTTTGTTCAAAATATCCGTCGGAAAAAAAATTCATGAAAATATATTCTATTGTATGATTTACTTTTATTACTATAATCATATCAGAAATCCTTTAAATATAAATTGTACATTTTAATTTTGAAAGTTGCACGGCGGATCACTTTACTTTCTTAATTATTAGTTGGTTAATAGCTACGCCAAAAGTCGTCGATGCGCTTTAAATCGCGTTATTAGATGGTTAACGAACAAGACTTACAACGAGATTTATTCACTCCCGGCATGCAAAAAGACTTAAACTACGTCACATAAGTCAGGAAGTTGGAATAAATTAAATTATTAATTCCCAATTTTCTTCTTTATTAGTGTTCATATCCAGATAAAACTTGGTAAATATGTTTTTTATGGTATTATGAACATAATAAGATGAAAAGTAAAAAATCACGAATTTTCCCTTTAAGGTAGATCATAAGTAAATATTTTTTGAGACAGAATTTTATTATAATTTGCCAAAATGAAGATTTTAGTATGCTTTTTTCAAAAATGTAATAAAAAGTATGGGTCACCGTGCTATTTTTCAAGCTATGAGTCGTTGAAAATAGCCTAAATTTGGTTAGATTGTTCATGAAAAAACACATTTGTGTGCATAAGAAAAATTCTATGAGATAGAATTTTGAAATAAATTGTGAGAAGATAGGTTTCATAATATGTTTTAAGAAAATAAAAAGAAAAAATGGTGTCACCGAACTTGTTTTCTTGCTGCAAGTAAAAATTAAAAATTTCCCTATTAGTGCAGTATAAATTGTTTACTAAAAGAGTTATTTCCCCTGAAATGGCTCATTTAAAAAAATGATTCTAAAAACAAAAAAAATTGATATTTGTTTAAATGTTTTGAATTATACAATAAATCACCAAGTGTTCTTTATATAAATAAACAGTCTAAGCATTAAATTGCAAATCTGTCTCCAAATTTGCAGATTTGGGCAAATAACTAGACCGATTTTGTATGGCGATTGTACAATCCAAGATGGCGGTATACCATGAATCTACCTTAAGTTTTCCCCAACCAAACATTAAGAAACCTATACACAATATTCATTACCACAAACTAAGATCAAGTACAAATTTTTCATTTCCGTTTTCTAACTTTAGTTTTGCCTCAACCAAATGTTATGAAACTTATACACAATGCTTATTACTACATAATACAGATTAAGTATGAAATTTGGTGGAGACACTTTTACCATTCTTGAGTTATGTCCATTTATGAACATAAAAATAGCTGAATTTTTCATTTCCGTTCTCTAACTTTAATTTGTCTCAACCAAATGTTATAAAACTTATACACAACCGTTCTAGAGTTATTTCTTCTTCTTATCATGTCATTAATTTTTATTATCACCTTAGCATCTCTTATATGTTTTATTTATTTATGTTATTAATTATATAAGTATTATCTATGTTTTACATAAGGAGCTGATAGGAAATGTTGCAAAACCTTCTTTAGAAATGTAACAACAATTTAATTGAAGGAGCTGGAAAGATCTCTGTTAGGTACTGACTGAGGGGTGTTAATTAGCTTGTGATGGTCTAACCAAATGGGCAATGAATATTTGTTCTTACAATTGATACAACATGTTGTGTAAACATGAAATAATACTGTAAACTCAGAAATTACTTAAATAATGTTTTCATTTTTCGGAAAATTGGAACAGGATAGGTTTGCAAAAATAAAAACTTAGATTTAATAAATTTTGATAGCATTATTTAATTGCACCATTTCCCTGAAATTGCAATAATCAATCATGCATTTGTATCCATTGTTTAACAATCACAATAAGTAAAAGTATACAGTACATACAGTCATACATGTACAGTGTACTGGTTATTTTTTATGGGATCTTAAGCAAGTATTGGTTCTTTGAAAACATAGTGAAACCAATATTATATGGCTATAAAGGGGTGACTTTTTATGAAGTGTAGCAATTCCTCATTAAGCATGTCATCCAATTGATCAATACAGGGCCGTATTTGGCAATAAGTTTATAACATTTCTGTGGTATTTTGTGCTTTGTAGAAAGTCTCCTGTGGCATGCTTTATTATTTTCTACATTTTACAGATAATATTCACTGTTATAAGACCGGCAGGATTTGTATATTTCAGATGTGGCGGATGATGAAGTTTAGACGATGGTATGGGAGTCTAGTTGCCATTTTGCTATTCCCTTCCATTGTTATAGTCTTATATTCAGTGGTATCTGTTCCTGTACCTAAAGGTTTGTTACTTCATCTTTCTGCAAAGATTTTATGAAAATTATAAAATGTATTATGTTATAGAAAGCAATGTATATTTGTATGCTCGCCTCAAAGAGGAGGGGGATAATATAGGGATGCACATTTCCTTCCTTTCTTCTGTCAATCACCAGTTTGGTTTTCCTTTGATAATCAAAGAACCAATTTACCAAATATTGAAATTTTAATAAAATCTCATGGACCATAAAATAAAGGTCATATTCAATTTTGATGGTTTTGACATTTACCATTCCAGAGTAAGTTATGCCCTTTAGTTATTTAAAAAGTTGGGTTTTCTTTTGTTTCCAGTTGGTAATTAAAAAACAATTTGACAACAATTGTATTTTAGATTTTAAGACAATGTTATGAACCATAAAATACAAGTCAGGTTCATTTTGAACTTTGGTTTTGGAATTTACTTTTAAAAAAAAAATTTCTGCAAGCAGGGGTATCTGTGATCAGCAAATCACCTACTTTTAGTTGAATTTACTACACATTGTATATTAATATGCACACAAAAAGTTAACATGCATTGAAAGTTACTTTGAATATTTGTAATAAACACAGTTATAACTACAAATGTAGTATATAACCTCAAATAAGGATGATGAATTTGAAAATACACATCATAGATTATTGTTTTATTGTTACATATAGACATTTCATTCAGTCAACAATATATTTATAAAAAATTAATTGTATTGGTGAAGCTTTACATGCATCATATATTTACAGATATTTTTAGCATAGATCGATTACTATAAATTAAACTGAAATTTAACATATGGCTAAAATGATTGATTATGGTAGAAATGAGATCATATAATTTGAATAATTTAAAGGACAAATACTTAAAATATATGTATAAAACATAGCAAGGAAAATTAATCTTTCTTATTGAAAATGTTTTTATCTACATTTTGTACAAGGACAGTGGATATCATACTTGAAATGCCCAAATTTCCCATAATGCAACTGAACTTGCAAGCCAATGTCCAGTTTATTTTTTAGAAAATAGGGAGACAATACCAAAGGGGCAATACAAAACTAAAAGACAAAAAATAAAAACATCACAATGGTCAAAAGAAAAACAGATAAACAGACAATTAACAGTAAATAAAACACTATAATGAAAACTAAAGATTGGGCAAGCCAACACAAAACCCACCAAAAACTGGATTCATCAGGTGCTTGATAGGGTAAGCAACTCTTGTTCAATGATTAGCACAAGTTGTGTGCTCAAAGACAAAAACTGTGGATTCATCAGGTGCTTGATAGGGTAAGGAGCTCCTGTTCAATGATTAGCACCAATTGTGTGCTCAAAGACAAAAACTGTGGATTCATCAGGTGCTTGATAGGGTAAGCAGCTCTGCTCCTGTTTAATGATTAGCACCAATTGTGTGCTCAAAGACAAAAAATGTGGATTCATCAGGTGCTTGATAGGGTAAGCAGCTCCTGTTCAATGATTAGCACCAATTGTGTGCTCAAAGACAAAAAATGTGGATTCATCAGTGCTTGATAGAGTAAGCAGCTCCTTTTCAATGATTGGCACCAATTGTGTGCTCAAAGACAAAACTTTTTTGCTGATGGATTATAATATATGAATAAACAATAGTGTTTTTAATACTCTTCTTGGGTGTGCACTTTTATTCATTTGAAAGGTTTGAGAAACCTGATAATTTTTAGGGTAAAGATTGCATGAAATGCAATTAAAATCCTTATGCTACTGGCTTAATATCTATATCTTCCATGGTTTATCACTAACTTTAATAGTTAAAACAACATATTGCAGTGAGGCTGGGACCATTAGACAATGTATTAGTCCTAGAGTGAGGAAAACATTCTTTAGATCCCATCCAGCCATTGTACATGTTGTAATGGCTTATGCAATTAATTAATTTTATGTTACTCAGATATTTAAGTTACAAAAGGATGTGTATTTGATGTTAGGGGCCTTTGTGGCTGAGTGGTCAAAGTAGTTGAACTACTGCATCACTAGCCTGTCAATACTGAGGTTGTGAGTCAATGGCAGGTGTGCTCAAATCCAATCTTAATTGACTAGGATTTTCAGTTTTCCTACTGAAGGTGATGGTTCTCTCCGGGCACTCCTGCTTCTGCCACGAAATAGCACAATAGTGCTGAAAGGGGGGTTAAATACCAATCAATCAATCTTGAATAATCATACTAGAAAACTAAGTTATTATAAATTACATAAGCTGTACATGGTGTATAATTCTATGTTATAAAAATAGTTTCAACTATAAATGTTCAACTATGAATAAAGGAAGATAACTCCTATTCAAAATATATGATTTTCCTAAATGGGGTGCATTGCTAAATACAATGCAGTTTTGCAAAATGATAGCAATCTTTACCCTTCAGTGCTCACAAGCACTTTGGTTTATATATATTTTGTGTGTTCTTACTGTGTAGACTTGTATTACTTTTTGTAGACCTAAAAATATAACCTTTGTTAGAAGATTTAGGTTTCCAAAAAAAGAGATCAATATACTGGAAATCATAGAAGCAAAGGTGTCAATAAAAAATAGAAATATTAAGAAGCAAATCCCTATAATTGTTTTGTATTATTTCTGAAGAAATTAGAAAATTTAAAGATCTACATATTGTAAAAGCATTTTATGTTTCACTTATGGATGTCCCTGGCCAACTTTTATGGATTTTGCAGTCAATTGTTTTAATACTATTCTTAGCCAAATACCACAGAATTAAGAAGCCAAAAAAAATTTTATACAATGAAAACTGGTGTCCACTTTTAAAAGCATATTCACAGTTTTGACAGAAATAGAAATGTCATAAGTTTGTTATATTTGCAGTAAAATTAAGATTGATCCCAAATGAAATCCAGACCAAAAGTGCTGATAAGGTAAGAAAATACATTGCTATACAAACTGTTAAAGATTTTTTGTTCTGTCCCAGATTTATGTTACTAACATCATAGGGGATGATGATATGATATTATTTCAATTAAGACATCTTAAAGAGAAATGGGAGGTTATACAAAAACTTCTTCACCATAATCTATATTTCAATTATAAAGGACTCTGTAGAGAAATCATATTTTGTAATAAATTGTGCACAAAGTAGATCATCTACTTTTGGTCAATTTCTAATCACGATTTTCATACTTGTAATTGTTTATAATCAAGTACATTTTTGTAAGTCAGAAACAACATGTTTCATGATTAATTCTTAGGTATATTCTTTTAAATTAGTGGAGTCTTGTTCAAATGAATATTTCATCATATATATATATATATATATTATTTTATTAATTCCACCAGAATGTGACCAGATTGAGCATAACCTAAATTGCTGCATGATTAAAAATGTTCTATACTTTATACTAGATCAACAAGTCTACATGGTTTACTTTAAATATTCTTATGTAATTGTGTTGAGAAAAACTGAGATCTTAGCCAAATAACTTGCATGAAAAATATGCTGAGAAAACTGCCTTTATTTCGTTTAACAATTCTTTGTGTACTTTTGTTTTATTTTAGATATTCAACAATCAAAACAATCAGTTATCCAATCTGACAGAAATCCGTCAATTTCGTTACAAAAATCTACTGTCCTCCTGCCAACAGTTAAAAAGCCGAGGTTTGATACAGAACAGCATTACAAAGAAATCTTTATCTCACATTTTAGTAGATGACCGCTACAAAGTATTATTTTGCTACATACCAAAAGTTGCCTGTACAAATCTTAAGAGAGTATTTTTATTATTAACAGGCAAAATGAATGCTACTGATCCTATGGCATTAAAAGCTGCAGATGTACATTTAACATACGACAAATATCTCACTTATTTAGATAGTTTTTCAGAGGATGAAGTACAGTTTAAATTAGAAAATTACAAGAAAATTATCATGGTGAGGGAACCTTTTGAGAGACTCCTTTCAGCATACAGAAACAAATTCACAGAAAAAAGTCCATATTTCCACAAACGGTTTGGTCGAAAAATTATAAGAAGGTACAGGAATAATCCAAGACAGGAAGATATAGAGAAAGGAAACACTGCCAAATTTGATGAATTTGTACAGTACATTACAGATCCAGTTACCATAGAAACAGAAGGTTTAAATGAGCATTGGGACCTTTATTCATCTCTATGTCAACCATGCTTAATCAATTATGATTTTGTTGGTAAATATGAAACCCTTGACGATGATATAGATTATATAATGCATGATTTAGGAATAGATACATTTATACAGTTTCCAAAACGGGGTGCTGCATATAAAAAGAAAAGAACAAAAGATACATTTACACAGTTTTATAGCAATATATCAAAAATTGATCTAGGAAAACTTTGGAAAATTTATAGACAAGATTACAAATTATTTTCTTATACATACCCAGATATAATCAAAAGGGATGATGATTTTTAAAGTCGTCTAAGAAATAAAAATTTGTGTTTATTTGAATGCAGAAAGTGTATAACATTAATCTCTTCATGGTTGCTAAGTTACTCATGTTCAAGTTCAACTTGGTAATTTCAAAATACAATTTAAGTTTGAATACTGTTAATCTGTATGTTAAAAATACAATTGTAATGAATTTTTTATTAGACTTCTGTATATTTTTGTCAGAAGTCTTTTTTTATTAACACTTAAGCTATCCATAAGAATTTTCTCCAAAACCTTCTTACATTTTATAGCAAAATATTAAAGGTAACAATTTAATATGGTGTGTCTTGTTAAAGGAATATTATGGATAATAAAAAAAAACAATAAATATTAGTATTCTGCACCCTTTTTTATAAGGAATATATACATGTACTGTTAAGGGAATATGATATAAGATCCACATTTTTTTTCAGAAATTTTTACATAAGTAGAGTTTTAGTGGGAAAAAAAATATTTACCTTTGATTTTTTCTTACAATTTTAGCATAACATTCTTAAAGCAATACACAATTAGTTGCAAAAAAAAAGATGGGGGTCAGTGCATTTATTTTTATACGCTTGTCAATTTTTGATGGGACGTATTATGGTATACAAATGTCCTGTGTCCGTCTGTCTGTCCGGGGTAAACATGTCGCACCGTAACTTAAGAATGACTTATTCAAATTTCATGAAACTTAACATAGTTGTTTCTTATGATGGTCAAACGATCTGTATACTTTTTGGTGAAAATAAGATTAAAACTTTTTGAGTTACGGGACTTAGTAACTAAAACAGGTGTGTGTTTTTTTTCACATGTCGCGCCGTATCTCAAAAACATTTTATGATTATTGCTTAAAACTTTACACACTTCTTAGTTATATTAATCTTAAGATCTGTATACTTTTTGGTGATGATTCAAAATTATATTTTAGAGATATTGAGTATTTTGTTAAAAAAGGGGGAGGGGTTTTTCACATGTCGCGCCGTATCTCAAAAACAGTTTATGATTATTGCTTAAAACTTTACACACTTCTTACTTATATTAACCTTAAGATCTGTATACTTTTTGGTGATGATTCAAAATTTTATTTTTGAGTTATTGAGTATTTTGTAAAAAAAAGGGGGAGGGGTTTTTCACATGTCGCGCCGTATCTCAAAAACGATTTATGATTATTCCTTTAAATTTTACACACTTCTTAGTTATATTAGTCTAAAGATCTGTATACTTTTTGGTTTTGATTCAAAATTTTATTTTTGAGATATTGATTTTTTTTTTTTAAAGGGGGGTTTTCACATGTCGCGCCGTATCTCAAAAACAATTTATGATTATTGCTTAAAATTTTACACACTTCTTAGTTATATTAATTTTAAGATCTGTATACTTTTTGGTTTTGATTCAAAATTTTATTTTAGAGATATTGAGTTTTTTGTAAAAAAAAAGGGGGGTTTTCGCATGTCAGGCCGTATGTCAGAAACTATTTATGCTTATTGCATAAAAATTCACACACAAGACGACGGGCGTATCATGCGCTCATGGCGCAGCTGTTTATTATATACTGTCCCCTGTACTGATCCATATCATTTTGTGGTGCTAAATAATAATGCAGTTAATTTCTTAATGTAACAGTTGGTTTGCATGCTTTTTTACCAAACATCATAACTTAACCATCGTCATTTATTTGAAATTCTGATTAAAGAAAAGTAATCAGCCTTTACTGGCCTTGAGCTTTATGTCATGCAGATAATTTCACAGGCTTCCATAGACAGCATATCCATTTTTTGTTTGGAACTGCTTTCAAATTCATGCAACTGGTTCAATAATGTCAGTGAATTTTGGATTTTGCCTTTTATTCACAAAGTTGCAAAGCAACTGGTTAAACTTAGATGTTTTATTATCTGACTCTGACTGCTTCTGTATTGTACACCCTGAAAAAAAATCTTTTGAAAATAGTTGTTACAAAATGAGTATGTGGCAAATATGTGTGTGTCATTAACAGTTAAGATCCATAAATTGCAGTTGATGTTATATAATGTTGGGATTCAAAAGCACTTACATTAATTTTGCAAAGTCCCATTATTTTTATAGTCTAATGTGAATAAATCTCTTTTTTACATTTCCATTTTGATTGTACTTAAACATATGCATGATACATATATACTTTATCCCTTTTGTAGAACTTTATTATCTTATTGTTTAAATTTGTATTGAATCATGTTTCACATGTTATTTTTCTGATCTCAGGAATGTGATATATATTTACCAATTCTACAGAAATCCTTCTAAATTTAAACATAAACTGTAATTGCTGATTTTTACATTTTTACAATTTTATTTTTTCAATATATTTCAAGTATATAATACAAGAAAATGTGTAATGAAATATTGCATTTTAAAAGTCTTGAAGGTAGACTGATTTAAAAATAATAGATAGACTAATGTTTATTTTTTCAGCAATTAATTAATAAAACTATGTTATGCCTATATATTTTGTGATCAGATATTAGCAATATCAATTGTATGAAAATATTGTGGTTGTGTACACTCTTAGTCTATCTTTTTGTTTGTGCATCCATCCCATATCAGGTTAAAGATAACAGGACCTAAATGTATCATGGATTTTTATGAAATTTTGCAAGCAACTAGGCCATGTGGAAGTGCATAAAAATGTCAAAAATTAAGTAACATAAATAATTTCTTGGGTGAGCCTAATTGAATATTTGAAGGAGACGTACAAATGTATAGGATGCCATAGATATCACAAAAAAATATTACCTTTCCACAAAAACCTCTCTTAGAATTTTCTATAAAGTTATGTGTTATTACCACTAAAATCCCTTTTTTATGCCCCGCCACAATGGAGGGGGCATTAAGTGTTATCCTTGTCCTTCTGTACATCCATATGTACATCCTAAAGTTAGTTTCTGTTCTCCAATTTTAGTTTGCCTCAACCAAATGTTATGAAACTTATATACAATGCATATTACCACAAAACTCAGATCAAGATTGAATTGTGGTGGCGTCACTTATACTGTTCTAGAGTTATGCCCTTTATATATGGAAAAATTGCTGATTTTTTCGTTTCTGTTCTCCAACTTCAGTTTGTCTCAACCAAATGGTATGAAACTTATACACAATGCTTATTACCTCAAAATTCAGATCAAGCTTGAATTTGGTTGGCATCACTTTTACAGTTCTCTAGTTATGTCCCTTTATAACGTTATATCCAAAATGGGGCATCGTCTGTGTCCCAGGGACAATTCTCCATTTATTTATAAAACTTATGGGGGGTCCCTGAAGTTGTTTTTGCTGTATAAATCTTCAAGTGTATATACTATGTCTAAAATATTTTGATGGACAAGACTGTGTTTATCATATGTTTATAACTTAAGGTCAGCTCATGTATGTTACAAGAATGAGCAAGCATGCATAGTAGGATTTTATTTACAAATATTTTTTTTTTAAATCTTGGTCTAAAAAAAAAATTGTCACTTCAGAGCAGCCAAGTCTGTTCACATCTCTTATTCGATCCCATTACTACAAGCTTTGTCAGACAACAGATAAAGTATATCATGATGATTGCTATGACTAGTAGTCTTTTCATGGCCTTTGTTAGCTGCTATTATGATATAAGGTTGTTCCAAAGGTAATAAAAAAATTGAGAATGGAAAGGGGAATGTGTCAAAGAGACAACAATCCTACCAAAGAGCATAAAACAGCCCAAGGCCACCAATGGGTCTTCAACACAGCGAGAAAATTCCATACTTTTGTTTCACAAAAAGGAACTAACAGAAAGATACCAAACAAGTAATAAAGTGGCATGACTTTAGGTGTAATACCACCAAATCATAGTACGTCACATCCGGTTGCATACGAAAATAGGTCGAAAAAAAATATTCCCTTGAATTTGACAGTTGTAGGTAATTGATCCTACATTTCATTGCAGTAAAACATTTCTGGGTCATAAACATATATCTTGGGTATTTCAAAGCACCATTATTTTTTTATTTGGGGTTTCTATAGAATATTTTGGAAACTTGAGGTTACATGGTTACTAAAGCTTGTACACAGGTTAAGAAAGGGGGGAAATTTGATTGGTTAACTTCCAGTGATGGTTATTTTCTTATATGCAATGAAATGTTATGTGAATTTTTTTCTATAGTACTGGACAGGATAAAACTTTACTCATGCCAAGTATTTCTTTATTTGAAACAAAGATAAATTCTGCACAATTTTTTGAAAAGTGCAAATTTAACAAAGACTAATAGGGGAAAATCAATGGTGGTATTACACCTAATATGGGAAGCTGTACATGCACCTTTGACCTTGTGAGTACTCTCATGTGTTAAAATTTCTTGCTATTTAAGTGAAATATTACAAATAATGAAATATTCTGAGTGGATTGAGTCTCCAAAACACATTTTATGAGAAAATTTCCTTGAAATAGGACTTTACCATGAATATTAGTTTACAGAACAAGCCATAATTAGAGTATTGGGGAGTTTTTTCTCCTTATTTCTTATATTCTGCTATACCAGAAAATTTTTCCTAAGAAATACTTTAATAAATATATAGTTTTAAGTAAATGAAATTATTTTAAAAGCAGTAACAACAAATTATTCACCAAAAGAGAAGCTTTTTATGTCCCTCTCTGGAACGCGGCGTAAATTTAAGTTTTACGTAAGGACTTATTGAAACCTCCTTGGAGACAGTAAACTTTTATACGGATAGTTCATTCAGCTTGAATACTTCAATTAATCATTTATTATAACATTTCTATCATAAATGAGTGAAAGTTACCCCAAAATTTTTATTTATTGGCCTAAAAAGTAGAAATTTTGAGGAAATTAGAGGTATAAATGGACCAAAAGAGACCTTATAAGGAAGACAAAGAGGTCCATTAGTAGTATTTATCATCCTAAAGTCATCTTTTGTATCATATTCAACTGTTTGTAGGCAGATGAGATAAATATTTGACCATTTATTGGTCCACACTATATTCTATCATGATGCGGCTTGGTTTGGATTTTTCGAAGAAATTTTGCTCGAATCGCTGCAGATGTCGTCTTACATTATACTAGATTTTTCTCAAACTATTGAACTGATTATGACAAAACTTGACAGGAATGCTAGAAATAACCAGTATTACAAAGGAAAAAAGTCACATTCAGTTTATTTAACAAAAAAGTCTTCTTTAGGTGTAATACCACCAAATCATAGTACGTCACATCCGGTTGCATACGAAAATAGGTCGAAAAAAAATATTCCCTTGAATTTGACAGTTGTAGGTAATTGATCCTACATTTCATTGCAGTAAAACATTTCTGGGTCATAAACATATATCTTGGGTATTTCAAAGCACCATTATTTTTTTATTTGGGGTTTCTATAGAATATTTTGGAAACTTGAGGTTACATGGTTACTAAAGCTTGTACACAGGTTAAGAAAGGGGGGAAATTTGATTGGTTAACTTCCAGTGATGGTTATTTTCTTATATGCAATGAAATGTTATGTGAATTTTTTTCTATAGTACTGGACAGGATAAAACTTTACTCATGCCAAGTATTTCTTTATTTGAAACAAAGATAAATTCTGCACAATTTTTTGAAAAGTGCAAATTTAACAAAGACTAATAGGGGAAAATCAATGGTGGTATTACACCTTTAGATAACCAAAATCAGACAATTAATACAGTGGCATCACTTTAGCTCACCAAAATCAGACAAATAATACAGTGTTATGACTTTAGCTCACCGAAATCAGACAAATAATACAGTGGCATGACTTTAGCTGACAAATAAATTGATTGAGGGAAGCATTACCTTTTTGGTTGGAGTGGACAAGTAAAAAATAGCTTACAGTCTTTGGATGTTTGGGGCAGGGGAAATATATAGGTAACTGATTTGTGTAATCAATTCTTCAGATTTCAACCCATACCCTTGAAACTTGACAGACAGATGAAAAACATGTTGTAAACTTGACAGACAGATGGCACACATGTTGTAAACTTGACAGACAGATGACACACATGTTGTAAACTTGACAGACAGATGACACACATGTAAACTTGACAGACAGATGACACACATGTTGAAAACTTTACAGACAGATGACACACATGTTGAAAACTTTACAGACAGATGACACACATGTTATAAACTTTACAGACAGATGACACACATGTTGTAAACTTCACAGACAGATGGAACACATGTTGTAACTTTGACAGACAGATGGCAGACATGTTGTAAACTTGACAGACAGATTGCACACACGTTGAAGTTGTGCACCTGCTATTATGGATTTGTTTGAATAATTTTTATTAATATTCTAGACATAGGAACTTAGTGATTTCTCACCAAAAAAATTTCCAAAGATAACATTGTTTTTTTTAACCCAAATCATTCTATGGAACTTCAAAGATAGTTTGAAAACTTATTGAGGTTGTGAACCTTCCATTTTGGAGTTGTTTAAGACTTTTTCCATTTTTATATTTTCATATTTTAAATGTTCAGTAGACTATTCTCCATTTGGTAAAGAAACAATCTTTCCAATGCAACCAATTGAGTTTTTAATCCATTATTTAAATAAAGTACTAAAGTTTGAGTCTAGTAAAACTAAGACAACAGAAGCTGTGTGTTTTACCATTGTTCATTGATACAGAATTTGATATTTTATCATATACATTGTTTTGACTGTGATTTGAATTATAATCTCAATTAATTGATATCACCTACAGATTTATATTCTTGCAAAGAAATCCCTCAGTTAATTGATATCACCTACTGATTTATATTCTAACAAAGAAATCCAACGAATTTGTTACTTTGTTGTACACCAGGCTTTAATTTCTTGAAAGAAACTTTTATTTGAAACTTTAATTTTGATTATTTATGAAAGACTCCAAATTCATGTGTAATAATTTTATTCATGATGGCCAATTCAAGCCTGGTACCTTCATGGTATGGTAAGTTTTGTAACATAGCTCCTTGATACTTGCTAGTATAATTATATGATTGTTATTGTATTGTTTAACAATGATTAAAAGTTTCTGTTGCATCAAAACTTTTAACTTTCTCCAAGCCCATTATACTTATACTTTTAATCATTGTAATACAATTTAATGTTCTCATCTGTACAAATATAGATTTACAATTGGCGCCACAAGACAAATGCAAGTTACTGCTTTAACATTTTGAAGGTTTGTGCTTCTTTTTAGTTACCTTTGCAAATCATAAATTTAATTGGAGTCAGATATTCAATTACTGGTATAAATGGCAGTGTTATTTTCATTCCTGTACCTTTTTAGGTAATTGTGACACATTCAAGTTAGCATTTGTGATCAATTACGCTTAAACAGTATAGAATCAGCTGTTCCATATTAAATGTACTAAGTTATGTCTTAGACAATAGAACATATGTTAACAAATGTAGTTAATGTTTAATTGTTGAGACACTTTTCTGTTGCAAATTGTTTATAACACAAACTAGTCATCCTTTTTGTTATCTCATTATTCAACCACTATATTTTACATTCTTATTATTCAACCACTATATTTTACATTCTTAAACACAAAATAAAATTATTTGTCATATTATGTGAGTTGTTTTTTTAATTAATAATATTATATATATGAAAAGATCACTTCACAAAACAAAATGAAGCTATTCACTTACATTTGCTGCTAAGAACTGTGGTCATTATAAATGCCTTAAATTGGTAAAGGTTACACCATTTGATTTCTTTCTCAAAATCTCTTGATAAGTTGAAACTATACCAGTGTAACAGCTTGCCAATGTCTGCAGTATAAAAACAAGGAGATGTGGTATGATTGCCAATGAGACAACTATCCACCAAAGTTCAAATGAAGTGGATGTAAGCAATTGTAGGCAACCGTACAGCCTTCAACAAGGACAAAATCCCATACTGTTTTGTCGGCTATTAAGGCCCTGACATGAAAAATATAAAACAATTCAATTGAAAAAACTAAGGCCTATAACATGAGAGTACCCAAATTGCACCTATTTTGACAGTTTTTTCACTTACGTTTTTTTATGATTCAGACAAAAGTTTCCATTATGGGTTTATTTTGTAGATGTATCCTTATTTACTATATAATTCCACCAGTTTAATTTTGAATCCATATTGAATCATAGTTAAATGGGTTTGAACCGACCTCCAAACTATCCATGATTCTGTAATAAGGAGTACCCAACTTGCATCCATGCTTAAATTCACATCCTTAAAAATCGAATAATAGATGTTTTGCTTTATTTCTTCAAATATTTAGAAAAATTTGACATTAGTCTATGCTTACTGTTCATTTTTTAAGAAATGGATGCTTGTAACCTATTTTATTTGCTCATTTGTAAAAGATGACTTTTTGTGAACGTCGCATGGTGACGTTTCCGCAGTTTAACTTTTTCCAGTGAATGCTTCATCTGTTGATGTATACTGTGAACGTTTAGTGTATATTTAAATACATTCACCTATGTTGAAAGACGTGTATAATGTCAAATCTTAAAACTACAAATTGTTTAGTCTCAAAGAAAACTTGTAAGATTTCCTCAGCTAATTTGTTGAATAGGTGCAATTTGGGTACTGTGACGTTACATGTCAACTATGCAAAAAAAAAAATGGCTCTTAAGTTATATATTTTTGCCCCACCACTTTTGTCAAAAGCTTTTATTTAGATCATCTGAGCTGGGTCAGATTCTTTACCTGCTTGGTATCAATCCATTGATAGACATGACACCCTAACAGGATAAATAGTCTTACTCTTAAATACAGTGTGATTAGAAGAGAAGCAGGGATTGTTAATTTCTTAAATTCTGAATTGACAAGACTGTTGATCAAACGGACAAGGTCAAGTCTGTTATTGGTTTCTTTCCCAAACATATTGATGTGACATAACTTAGTAGTATATACACGAAATATAATGCCAAATATTGAGACTGTGATCAGTATTATATGGGTACAGCAAATTTTGTGGGTTCTACCAAGGTGTCAATGAACTTTGTCAATTATAATATTATTTGGATCGTTTATGTAAACTAAACTTTCACGAAACACAGCAGTATCTTTCCAGAACCATGTTTGATCACTTTATCTCTTCATGAAATTGTACATCACTTTTGTTATATACGCTCACAGTAAGTTTTTGAAGGGACGTCAGAGCAATCTCTAAACTAATCTATATTTAGAATAAGTGGCCATGTTGGCTGATTCACTTGAAGTCCAGAAACAGATCTAAACTACACATCAGCTCAATGTTGATTTAAAAAGAACCAGTGGTTTCAAATGATTTTTTTAATAGATTATAGAGAGATGGGGACAATGGACATATGATGGAAGATGGTAGCATCAAAAAATAAAAATATCACATATGACAAGTAATGGATATAGCTAACGTGTCAAATTTGTACATATCAAGGTATATCCATATTACAGTAACACATTACCGATCTTAAGATGTATGTAATACTTGTCACTGAACTGAAAGTTGTTTGTTCGTTGTCATCCTTAGTTCCTAGTCATTAAAAGTTATACATGGTGTCTCTTGTGTTTAGAGAGTTCTAAATTATATTTAATCATGAATGTCCGTCAAAAAAATTTGTGGTTTTGTACACCATAATAAATTCCTATAACAAGTCTTTTGGAAATCTTCTTAAATTATTCCACCAATTATCATCCCCAAAAGACACTAGTTAACATGAAAATTAATCTTTGAACACACTGTATAATAGCTAATGTAACTTTGCAACAACCTATCTTTAATCTGTTCTATATTCTAGTTGAAAAAAGTTCTCTTTATAAAACTAACAGGAAAATTAACATTATAGGCAAACCCTGTCATGTCATTTATAAAGGCTGTTCAAGTTGGAACTTTGTCATGAAAATTTGTTTAGGGATAAAGAAACATCATCTTAACTGAAAGTCATTGTGAAACTTTGTAAAAACATTGACTTATATACATTATTTGGCTCACCTGCTCATAGGGCCAAGTGAGCTATTCTCATCAATGGTGTCCGTCGTCCGTTAACTTTGTGGTATCTAGATTTAAAAAATGTGTCTGAAGACCCCGCCTGACAACCAACATGGCTAAAATAGAACATAGCGCTTAAATGCAAGTTTATGTAATCTTCCACATCGATATAGATGGAGAAAATCTGACAGGGTCACAAGGGTTCAAAAGTTGAGATCTATCTACTGTGCATTTACATCTTAACTTGTCAGAAGACATTTTATCGGACTTGCTGTCCTGAAATTTTACCATTTTTTTCCCCATTTTTGCCTATAACCATGAAAATTATAATAGATAGACAGAAACTTTTAAGAGCAAAAATGATCAACAAGATCTACTAAGAAATCAACATGGCCAACATTATCAGACGACTCTTTATTAAAGTTTAATATTGATTGCCATTTAATGACAATTTTTACTCATTTTTACGTTTTTGATTATTATCTTGTGAATTATAATAGAGTCATAATAGATGGATATACATTTTTAAATAGCAAAATTTACAAGCAATACAAGTTGAAAATGGTCGAAATCGACAGTCGACTTTTTATTGAAGCTATTGCCCTTTAATGATTTTTTTTTTTTGCGTTTTTGCCTATTATTTTGAAAACTGTAATAGATAAATAGATACTTTAAAAATCAAAAATGTTGAGCAAGACAAGATTCTACAAATAAGCCATAATGCTGAAATTGTCAGTTGACACCATATAGCAGTTACTCCCCCAAAATAACGAATTTTTAATCATTTTTTTGTGTAATTGGCTAATATTATGAAGTTATAAAAGACCGAAAGAAACTTTAAATAGCAATAAGGTTCCAATAATACAAAATCACCACAAAAAAAAGAAATTTTGAAGAGTGTCCATTGTTGAAGATGGACATAGACTCAGGTGAGCAACACATAATCTTTAGAGCCTCTAGTTTTACGAGTCACAGTGAAAATAAACGAATGGTGAAATAGTTGACACTGGACGTTTAGCAGACACTTTACTCATAAATCCCTAGTTGTTTATGATATATAAACATTTCTGTATTTATCGCTAATAAATATACATTTATATTCATATTTATGATGTATGGAAAGAGATGTTCTAAATACAAAATTTTAAATATTCTAAATAAAAAAAACATAGTTTTTCATAGCAAAATCTAGCTTCTCTAAACTCTTTTATGTTAAACAGATCACTATCGACCTTTTTAACCATTATCTGTATAATGATTTCTTAGCTTTCCATTAGATCCTTGAATAATAACTTGTCTGTCATATTTGTGTTCAGAGTTATCTCCCTTCATCTGCAAAAGAGTGAATTCATTATATAGTTATTGTAATATCGGAGTCTGTAAAATAGCCATAAACAAATTGTAAATTATGTAGACCAGTAAAAAAAGCATACACATAATTCATATCTGCCAACGAAGTCAGGATTGTATCGATAAAAAGTTTATTAAATGTTTATGTAATAAGTAGACCAAAACAAATGTACATTTTATTCTTTTGTGATGTCGCTGACTTTCGTGCAGCATACATTTTAATTTCTTTTGGACTAATAGCAAATTTTAATACCATTTTTATACCTTAAAATCATTTGGTAAAAAATGACAGTCATTATAGCTTAAATAACCTTTCCACATCTTAAATATATAAGACTGAAATATCTGTTTAGTCTAAATTTGCTATAATTTTACAATGGAAAATATTGCGTAAATGATGCTGAACACTGACATAATATCAAAAATTTAAAACGTGTTTTTACATAATATCAAAAGCATTTACAAAATCAGCCACTCTGGTCAAAATATGAAGTTTGTTTCCTTGACGGGGTGATGCTCTGCCCCCACCATGTCCACCACGGTTTACCAGATCTGTGTAAAACCGTAATTTGGCGACGATGAAGTGAAACTAACCATTTTCAAAAAAATATAAAATGTTTTGATGTTGCGCCCTTGTAACTACAGAATTTGAGTCAAAAGGACGTTAAAAAATGCTAAAACTTATTATGCTAGATCATACAAGATAAATAAGTATTTGTGATAAAAAGATATCACCAACTCTACATTATTTAAAAAAAACCGTTTAATTCAGCCTAACAATGCTTTATTCCAAAATTAAGATTAAAGCCATGTTTACCCATTGGTGGCCTTCGGCTGTTGTCTGCTCTTTGGTCGGGTTGTTGTCTCTTTGACATATTCCCCATTTCCATTCTCAATTTTATTATACACATGCCAATGCTAGTGTTAAAGGAAATGCATACATGCAATCTATATATTCTTAGATATACAGACACTTTACAAAGCTTCTTGTTATTGCATTTATAAAGGACATTTTGGAGAGTAAATTCATTTTTATATGTCTATGTTTTTTTCGAGAGCGGTCCCTGTTGTCATGGTTGTTTCGAGTGAGTCCATGTTTTATCGAGTGAAAAAAACAAAATTCCTATGGCTTTAATTGTACTAGTAATATGTCTTTTAAAAAACAACGAAAAGGTTCAAATAAAGTACTTTTTAAAGCACGAAACCAATGCATAAAACCAGTTTGATAATGCTTTATTAACAAGTACGTTTCTGATGAA